GCTACATTGCTGTCTGGCATCTTCATAATCTTATGTTCGGCAGCCGTCGTAGTGTTGCTACTCCTCCAGCTGCCAGAACGCGTGGCGTAAACTCTGATCGCCAACTCTTCGCAGTCTACCTTAGTTCTCCAACAGCCTGCACGGTCTTTGGTAACTCTGGAGACGGCGGAGCCGGTGTAACGTTAGAAAGTCAGATCGTGACAGTGCACTGAGGATCAGGAGGTTTAGTTTTAAGGGAGACTTCTCAACGCCTCTCGATCCTCCTTTTCTCATCCTGGCTTGGGAAAGGCTGCGGCAGAGTATTTGCCCACTGTTGAACCCGTCGTCTTGTTTCATCCAACTAGTATAAACAAATAACTGTTTTCCGCTTAATGGGTAGAATGACTTGACGACAACTTTTCACTTTTCCTGTTTGAATTGCGCTCTGCGAATTTCCGCAGTTCGTCTATCCGCTCAACAACTGCCGTTAAGCGGACAGCCTACTCTATAGCTTTGTCCCGTTTGTTTGTCAGTTATCCTATAGCCTATTTTTGCTATTTTCGATACGGTCGCTGAGTCCGGTGAGGTTGGTGCTGTGAACCAAAATTTGATGAGGTTTGGGTGGCTTATGATTTTGAGCTTTTCATCGATAGTGTACAAGGTTTCTATGTGCATTAGAAGCGCAAGGGTTGCGCTTTGCATTTGTTTACATTTTTCGCCTCCGGGCATCATTTTCCTCAAATGTAGGTACGTCGAATATTTATTTCGTTTAGGTTGCAATCTGAAAATCTTCAACAATCAGGAATTCGCCCAGTTGCTGTCCATGAGCGTTTCGCAGGGTTTCGAAGCGGTTTATGCGTTAACGCGCATGTGTACAATACGTGTAAGTTTCGTGAAAGGTTGGGGTGCCGACTACCGCCGTCAAACTATCACATCCACCCCCTGTTGGATCGAACTGCATCTGAATGGGCCATTGCAGTGGCTCGACCGAGTGCTAACGCAGATGGAAGGTCCGACCAACAAGATGAATAGCTTCACTTGAATCGAACTTATCGCTGCCGCGCAAAATTCACGCTGCGCCCTGTAGTTTATAAACATTCACAGTGATTTTGCAGACGAGGCTTCGTCAGTGAACACTTCGATCATTTACACAACGAATCTGTCGGCGGGCTATTGTCATTCATACTTCACGCGCTAATTTGCGTGATGATTATTCACAATTTTTAAGTTAAATATTTTTATAGTTTATGCTTTTGCGGATTGTTCATAGTTACTCGTATTTTATGCATTTTTACTTGACTCTGTGTGGTTTCATTTTACCCTTCGCGGTTTTATGTATTGGTTTTCTTGAAAGCATCCGAAAGTTGTAGAGATCAGTACGATCGGTATTTTATTTTCAATTGTGTGTGAATCGTCCTGTTCAATTTGTGCAGTATTTATGTTCTGCGCTACAACTTTTGTTTTTTTTCCGCCGAATGGGACAATTGTAAATAGTTTTTTAATGTTACTGTCTAAGCTACTAGTTGTTTGTTTTGTTGAAACTTGTTAGTTCGATTATTTATTGTGTGAACCACGCGCTGAGTTGTTAGTCGCAGTAAATATTGCCGTAGTTTTAGCTACCATGTGTGATTGATAATTAGCACCATCATTGTAAAATCTTCTGGCAAATTTAAGGATGTTACGGCTTCCCGCTGTTCCGATAAACTGTACTGTGTCAAAAATAAACGGCGGCAATGATTTTAATAGTGACCTTTGCGGATTGGAAACATCTCTATGAAAGATTTCAATGCATATATGCTAAATAATGGGTTTCATCATCGAAACGACAGATCCGATAACTGCACACAAAGTGAGTTTTGGGCAAACTTTGACTTCTAGAGCCAACACAAACATCAACCTCTGCAAATCAACCACCAATTTTGCATGCGAGCAGAAACTCGATACAATCGTGATCTAAACAAAAAAGTGCTTGCAATGATGAACAGCTCATCGGTAATGCAAGTTCTTTTCCGATAACTAAGCCTCTATCTCTGTTTATGAGGTATTTGACAAGAAAGAGTGATGTACGAAAGACTA